ATGATGGGCAAATCGACTGATCGTTTTACCGATAAAAAATCTGCGCATGAGCCGTGACCTGCAAGATGAAAAAGAAGAATTCCAGTCCGCTATTATATTTTATATGAAAAGTATTGCGGTTGCAACAATGTGTGTTTTTGTATCCGAATAAAAACATCTGTATCCGAAATGGATACAAATGGATACATTGTTGCAACCGCAATACTTTTTCATGTCAAATATAATAGCGGAGCCCGGCCATAGACGGGACAAAATTTTTTTTTTTTTACCATTGGTGGTAACATTGGCCTATTGAACGACCAATTTTTTTCTTTTTTTTTCTTTTTTTTAGCGGCTGGTTTTTCGACACTTCTGGTTTTGGGTTTAATACTACTTTAAGTCTAAACTGATGACCTATAAAGGTTTATAACCCTTGCCGCTTCCAGAGCTGCTTTTAATGTATGGTGTTTTTTTTTTTTTTTTTTTCCTCCACATGTTTAAATAATACTTGTATGCCTGAATATTACTTATAATCCCCAAACAGTACTCTGGAGAATAAAAGGATAGTAGTTCCAATGCTTATGTCACTTGATATCACATGCAGTGATTGGCAGCAGTAGAAGCAAATGGCCCCTGCTGCTTTTACTGAACCCAGTGAGGCTGAGCTGCGCTTTGTGTGCCAATAGATGCACACAGACCGGCTCAGGATCAAGCCCACACAAGTGCCCCTTTAGCATGAGGTTTGCTATGGGGGCACTTGAAAATGAGGGGGAGAATTGAACGCTGGTTAGAGGCCCCAGAAGGGCAGGATTTGGGGCTCTTCTGTGGAAAATATATATAGTATAATAGGTTTATTTAAAAAAAAAAAAGAAAAAAAGAACCTTTATAAACACATTAATTGTAAGCCATGCTTGCAGATATAGGTAGCAACATCCAATATCGGGACTAGTGGAGATTTAAAATGAACAATGCTTTTTTAAAGGGGTTAATTGAAATTTTCTGTTAGTTTCAAATGTTTTATTTCTTTGATTTCCTAGTTGCTGTCCTGTCAGTCTATGTCACAACTGGCTTGTATCCCTGGACTGTGCTGAAAGAGTAAAATCAAAGTAACATGACTAGACAAGCTAGATTTTCCTTACAAGTCATCAGTGTTGCCGCATTTATGACCACTTCTAAGGCTGCACAACTATAGACTTTGCATTTTATTTCTGTACATGTTTATCTGATCTGTGTTCTAGGTAATTGTTTTACTGGCTGTGGAACACACTATGAGGTTAATTTGTTAAATTTGTCTTTACTAAACCCACAACAGTAAAATCAGTCTGTATATGCAGTAAAGCATGCTTGTTATACTCACTGTGGAACCTAAGGGGTTAATCCTCTGCATTGTGTAAAAAGGCTGTTTGATCCTTTATCTGCCCCTCCTTTTGTTGAAATGACCACCTGATACAGACTGAATCCTTACTCACATACACATGCTCCGCTTAGTGTGTATTGCTAGAGAGGTTTTTTTTTTTTTAATTTGGAGAGTGCATCTGATCGGCACAGGGCCAGTCAGCACTGTCCAAACAAAGGGTCAGGGGGTTTCACATCCTCCTAGAGCAGAAAGAAAACTCCTACAAGCTTTAACCAGTGCTCTGCTGGACACTGATAGAAGTCACAAGACTGCTCTAACTGCTGATGAGAAAAGGTATTTAGCAGTTTATATTTACTAAAATAATTGCATTTCCATGTTGTATGTACTGTGGGAGACCAGATATAGTGAATGCAGGATCCGGGGTTTAGTAACACTTTAAGTGTGTGTTAGGGCGAAAAAAAAATCTGTACATCTTTAAGAATACATGCACATTTCATCTTGTTTTATCTCTTTTGAAATGCTACAAGTACACAAAAATATTTGATGAACCAGACAAATCCAGCCTGTATTAAGCAGGCAATCTGCCTCTGATGCACTGAAATCTTAGGCAGTGTTGTCAGTCCTACCTAGGCTCTCTCCTGCTGCACTATGGTACCTTTTCTTGTGTTCTGTGGAGGGGAAGGTGCTCTGTAGACCAACAAGGGTTTACCCAATTGGAGCTTAAAACAGTGCTTGGGATTTTGGTACAGCAGAGGCAATATTGCCCACTCACTACAGAAAGTTAGAAGCTCACTGGATTTCTGACAGATCAACAGGTATTTTTCTATAGTTGCAGTATTTGTTTAACCCCTTAAGACCAGCACCTGGCATTCATAGTGGTCACATGATTGGAAAGCTCCTGATAGCAAGTAGAGACCAGGAGCTTCCCTATAGCCGCTAGTAACTGTGCTGGGAGCGCGCCTTCGGCACGGCTCTGTTTACATTCTGGAACGCATATATGTGACCTTTCGACATTAAGGCCCACCCTCCGAGAGGCTGCATGAATGCTTATCGCTGGTGTCAAGAGGTTGAACAGATAAAACATGAGAAAATGTGCATGTATTTCAGATTTCTACTGCATGTTTTGTTTTTTTTTTTGTATTATAATTTTGCCCCAAAACACAATTTAAATGTTGATTTTGGATAAAAATAAAACTCCCTTAGGTGTTTAACCACTTTGTGTAACACATACATACACGGCATTCAGGAAGTGGGCTTTATTCCTGGGCACAACCTATGTACATACAGCAAAAAATTATTTGCGCTAGTAAAAAAAAACAAAAAAATACCCCAAAAAACAAATGTGAATCTAAACACAAATAGATAAAACAAAAATATAAAAATAAATTTGAATATAAATGTGTCCCAAAAAAATGTCCAAGGATAATGTTTAAAAAATCATTAAAGTCCAAAAGATGAAGGAAAATGTGACAGTCCACCACCAGATAAACTAAATAAACTCACCAGAGCTACATGCTGATGATAAATCAGCATAAGGCGCTAGTTGCTCTGGGAGCAATGCTCAGCAGGATGATAGGCCACTAGTAGATCCATCTCCAGGGGGTGATGTTCAGCAGAAGCCAACTCCAAATAAACCAATATGAAGGAAGCAATGATCTGTATTGAAAAATACCACTAAGGAAATCCACTTCTCCCAGACTCCACCTTATTCATATCCAAAGGGTATTGGGCCAGGCACTCGGAAAAGAACAATAACAACTTCATAGTGCAGTACCTTAAAACAACTTCATTTATTATGCACTCATTGCACTTAACTCAAAAGGTGTCCCAGCCGACACCAGCGTTATCAGCATGTAAAATACACAATAAACGAACCCAGCCACTCGGCACATGCGCAGTGGAACACTGGGAACGTAATGACGTCACATCGATCAAAAACCCCGCCCTACGCATTTCGTCATGGACGTCCTCACGGAGCGGTATTTTTAGTGGTATTTTTCAATACAGATCATTGCTTCCTTCATATTGGTTTATTTGGAGTTGGCTTCTGCTGAACATCACCCCCTGGAGATCGATCTGCTAGTGGCCTATCATCCTGCTGATCATTGCTCCCAGAGCACCTAGCGCCTTATGCTGATTTAACATCAGTATGTAGCTCTGGTGAGTTTAGTTTATCTGGTGGTGGACTGTCACATTTTCCTTCATCTTTTGGACTTTAATGATTTTTACACATTATTCTTGGACATTTTTTTGGGACACTTATTCATATTTTTATTTTTATATTTTTGTTATATCTATTTGTGTTTTAGATTCACATTTGTTTTTTGGGGTATTTATTTTGTTTTAAATTATTTTTTGCTCTTTGTTACACACTATATTTACTAGGGTGGAGTTTGCAGCTGGTAGATTAGATAATATTCCATTAATACCCTTTCTTTAGGCGCCATTATATTCACCAATTATTGCAACCTATGTACATTCCTACGTTTGCCCTGGAAGCATGCTCAGTCTTGCGCTGCCAAGGTCTGTTGAAAATAAATAAAGCTACACTAGCTCAGGGCTTGATCTAGTTAGTGAGTGATGGTGTCAGTGTATCAATGTTAGTGGTATTGTCAGTGTCTGTTGGTGGCAGTATTAGGGTCAGTGTGTTTTAAGGTAAAGAAAAAAGGTTTTATGTTTGCTGTCAGTGTTTTTAGGTAGGACAAAAATCAAAAATGTGTATTTTGGTTTCTTGGCCCTGCTACTAGAACAAAGAACAAATAACACACATATATATGGGTATTGCTGAAATCATGAGTAATTTTTTTTTCAGGTTTTTTACAGCTTACATTTTTTAAAATTGGTTTGTTTTTTTTTTTTTATTTTGGGACTGTTTTCCTTTCATAATACTACAAAATCGGGAGATAATTATTAACATTAAGCACCAAATGAAAGCCCAATGTTCTGAAAAAACAAGGTATAATTCACCTAGATACACTATAAGTAGTTGTGATGATGTGTACAGTTATACTAACACATCAAAGTTGTAAAATTGGGTTTGGATGTTGGCCAGTTCACACTACATGCATTTCAGTTGCTTTTTTCTGCATCCAAAACGCACAGAAGGTAGGTTATATGGTTGTCAGTGTCATAGTTCACAGTTCACATCAGTGCTGTAAATGAACAGTGTAGAGGAGGGGCAGGCAGAGCGGCCACTGTGTAGCAAAGCACATCTCTTCTGTCTGAGTACCAGGAGTACAGTGTTAGATGTACTCCTGGCATTCTGTAAAATTGTAAATAAGAGATAAGTCCACAAAGTGGCATACACCTTGTTAGACTTAACTCCTTAAAACCATCATATTTTTAAAAGTTCTGTGATTCCTGGAGTTCTTTAAAACCCCTTTATATTGACCTTTTGCAGTTCCCACAATCCATAGGCCCTTTGTAAACTGGGGGAACTGCTGCACAATTGTTCTAAGTAGTTTGGTGGATTTAAGTACACTGAAGAAGTAGACAAGTAATACGTCCTTCTAGTTCAATTCAGAAAACAACTTTAACGTTGCTGCTCATCACTGACACTTTTTTTTCCCTTTTTTAATCTGCTTACTTATATTTAAACAATTACACAAATTTACAACTCTGTATGCTATTTTTTAATTACTCGATTTTTTGTTTACCCCTGCAGGTTACATCCTAAGTGTTGTTCTTTTGACATTACCTCGCCAGCATCTCGCTCAGCTGTACCTCTACTTTGTGACTGCTTTGCTGCTGTATACGGGACATCAGATTTCCAGGTGAGGAGGGTACATGATTCATAGTCCAGAGATGCACAAATGGCAGTTATCAATCTCTCTTATTATCAGGCATGTGACAAGGAAAATCGCAGCATTATCATGTCTTCATGGATTTTGGGTTAAGCTTATTATATGGGCTGTATTTGTAATATTGTTATGTATTTGATCAGTTTTTTTGTAGCCTGCCTAAAAGGGCCTTGAGCTGAAAATACAATTTGCCTTGTGTTAGCAGCTACTAATAACGTTAACAAATATGCTGACAAGATCAGAACATCCTAAATAGATTATTCTAGTTAGCAGTGGCTTAGTGGCAAGCACGTCTGCCTTGCAGCACTGTGGTCCCTGGTTTGGATCTTAGTCAACACATTACCTACTTAGAGTTTGCATGATTCTCCCTGTGTTTGCAAAGGCTTTTTCCAAAGTATTCAGGTTTTCTCCCACACTTCAAAGACATATTGGTAGGTTAATTGGCTCCTGCCTAAAGTTGGCCTTGGTAATATAATATTCTACTGAGTGCACCCAAGATGGCCGCCTCACCTCTTATCTGCCCCAATATAAATTTGATAAGTGCTTTGAGTCCCCAGGGAGACAAGTGCTATGGAAATAAACAGTAACCTTAACTTAATTAAATGAATAAAAAGGATTGACCTCCAAATTTTTAAACAGCTCTGTAATGGAAAAAAAGAAAATTGCTAGATTGTATGCTCCTTGAGGGTTAGGGACTGCTGTAAATGTACAATATATATGTAAAAGTGCTGCGTAAATTGACGGTGGTATACAGTGGATATAAAAAGTCTACACACCCCTGTTAAAATGTCAGGTTTTTGTGATGTAAAAAAAAAAAAGAGACAAAGATAAATAATTTCAGAACTTTGTCTACCTTTTAATGTGACCTATAAACTTTACAACTTAATTGAAAAACTGAAATCTTTTAGGGGGGTGGGGGGAAGTAAACATAAAAAAGCTAAAATAATGTGGTTGCATAAATGTGCACACCCTCTTATAACTTGGGATGTAGCTGTGTTCAGAATTAAGCAATCACATTCAAAATAATGTTAAATAGGAGTCAGTACACAGCTATCATAATTTAAAGTGCCTCTGATTAACCCCAAATAAAGTTCAGCTGTTCTAGTAGGTCTTTCCTGACATTTTCTTAGTCGCATCCTACAGCAAAAGCCACGGTCTGCAGAGAACTTCCAAAGCATCAGAGGGATCTCATTGGTAAAAGGTATCAGGAGAAGGGTACAAAAGAATTTCAAGGCATTAGATATACTATGGAACACAGTGAAGACATCATCAAGTGGAGAAAATATGGCGCAACAGTGACATTACCAAGAACTGGACATCCCTCCAAAATTGATGAAAAGATAAGAAGAAAACTGGTCTGGGAGGCTGCCAAGAGGCCTACAGCAACATTAAAGGAGTTGTAGGAATATCTGGCAAGTACTGGCTGTGTGGTACATGTGACAACAATCTCCCGTGTTCTTCATATGTCTGGGCTATGGGGTAGAGTGGCAAGACCGAACCCTTTTCTTACGAAGAAAAACATCCAAGCCCAAGCTAAATTTTACAAAAACACATCTGAAGTCTCCCAAAAGCATGTGGGAAAATGTGTTCTGGTCTGATGAAACCAAGGTTGAACTTTTTGGCCATAATTCCAAAAGAAATGTTTAGCACAAAAACAACACTGCACATCAACAAAAGAACACCATACCCACAGTGAAGCATGGTGGTGGCAGCATCGTGCTTTGGGGCTGTTTTTCTTCAACTGGAACTCGGGCGTTAGTCAAGGTAGAGGAAAATATAAACAGTTCCAAATACCAGTCAATATTGGCACAAAACCTTCAGGCTTCTGCTAGAAAGCTGAACGTAAACAGGAACTTCATCTTTCAACGACCCAAAGCATACATCCAAATCAACAAAGGAATGGCTTCATCAGAAAAAGATGAAAGTTTTGGAATGGCCAAGCCAGAGCCCAGACCTGAATCCGATCGAAAATCTGTGGGGTGATCTGAAGAGGGCTGTGCACAGGAGATGCATTCGCAATCTGAATGATTTGGAATGTTTTTGCAAAGAAGAGTGGGCAAATATTTCCAAGTCAAGATGTGCCATGCTGATAGACGCATACCAAAAAAGTGTGCTGTTATAAAATCAAACCATGCTTCAACAAAGTATTAGTTTAAGGGTGTGCACACTTATGCAACCATATTATTTTAGTTCTTTCCCACCCCAAAAAAGATTTCAGTTTGTTGTACAGTTTATAGGTTACATTAAAGGTGAAAAAAGTTCTAAAATTATTTATCTTTGCTTCATTTTTTTACATCATACAAACCTGACTTTTTAACATGGGTGTGTAGATTTTTTTATATCCACTGTATAAGTACCTGTAGTAATAACAATAATCATTTCAAGTATGGGTACTTTTATGGAGCCTGGAAATACATGCAGCATCCTCCAGGTCCCCATTCTTATTCCTGATTGTTGGACTGTTCTACACATTCCTATTGGTCAGTGATGCAACCCATCATAGTGATGACCCAATAGCAATGTGCGGCAGGTGGAAAGAGCAGGCGAAGCATGACTAAGTTCAGCACTTTCAGTGTGGAGAAGGTAAGTAGTGTATTTTACAGAAGAAAATATCCACACAGGACAAAAGGGTTGCGGGGGGATGTGGTAGATGTATTGTTAACAGCCTTGTCATTGGCAACCTTTTTGTTTTCTAAATATTGTCTCTACTCTGTATCTGTATGCGTGACTAGTAAAAAAAATAAAATGATTTTGGCTGTGTTGGCAAATTAACTTATTCTATTTTACATATATTAGGGATTATGTTCGCAGCGAAATTGAGTCTGGATATGAAGGACCTATGCATCTAGAGCCATTATCTATGAACCGGTTTCTCATTGCACTAGTAGGTGAGTGACATCAATTTACCTTGAAATGCCGCAAAAACCTGCTAATTTTACCTTTTTAATGCAATGTTAGAGGCGTAATCTTTTTTTAAATGGTAAGTAAACATAGATGCTGATAATTGATAGATGGCAGCTCATAGTTTGAGGATTATTTGACTTCCAAAAGCCCTTTTTCTGTAGTTAGCTGCCTAATATACTTGATTGTTCCTGTAAATGCTCATATCTACATTAGCTTGAAAAAGTATTCATACTCCTTGAAATTTCCAGATTTTGTCATGTTACAATCAAAAACGTAAATGTATTTTATTGGAATTTCATGTGATAGACCAACACAAAGTGGCACATAATTGTGAAGTGGAAGGAAAATGATAAATGGTTTTCAAAATTTTTTTACAAATAAATATGTGAAAACTGTGGTGTGCATTTGTATTCAGCCCCCCGCAGTCAATACTTTGTAGAGCCACCTTTCTCTGCAATTACAGCTGCAAGTCTTTTTGGGGATGTCTCTACCAACTTTGCAAATCTAGAGAGTGAAATTTATGCGCGTTCTTCTTATAAAAATAGCTTGAGCTCTGTCAGTTTGGATGGAGTGTCTGTGAACAACAGTTTTTAAGTATTGCCACAGATTCTCAATTGAATTTAGGTCTAGACTTTGACTGGGCCATTCTAACACATACAGTCAGGTCCATAAATATTGGGACATGGACACAATTCTAACATTTTTGGCTCTATACACCACCACAATGGATTTGAAATGAAGCGAACAAGATGTGCTTTAACTGCAGACTGTCAGCTTTAATTTGAGGGTATTTACATCCAAATCAGGTGAACGGTGTAGGAATTACAACAGTTTGCATATGTGCCTCCCACTTGTTAAGGGACCAAAAGTAATAGGACAGAATAATAATCATAAATCTAACTTTCACTTTTTAATATTTGGTTGCAAATCCTTTGCAGTCAATTACAGCCTGAAGTCTGGAACGCATAGACATCACCAGACGCTGGGTTTCATCCCTGGTGATGCTCTGCCAGGCCTCTACTGCAACTGTCTTCAGTTCCTGCTTGTTCTTGGGGCATTTTCCCTTCAGTTTTGTCTTCAGCAAGTGAAATGCATGCTCAATCGGATTCAGGTCAGGTGATTGACTTGGCCATTGCATAACATTCCACTTCTTTCCCTTAAAAAACTCTTTGGTTGCTTTTGCAATATGCTTTGGGTCATTGTCCATCTGCACTGTGAAGCGTCCAATGAGTTGTGAAGCATTTGGCTGAATATGAGCAGATAATATTCCCGAAACACTTCAGAATTCATCCTGCTGCATTTGTCAGCAGTCACATCATCAATAAATACAAGAGAAATAGTTCCATTGGCAGCCATACATGCCCACGCCATGACACTACCACCACCATGCTTCACTGATGAGGTGGTATGCTTAGGATCATGAGCAGTTCCTTTCCTTCTCCATACTCTTCTCTTCCCATCACTCTGGTACAAGTTGATCTTGGTCTCATCTGTCCATAGGATGTTGTTCCAGAACTGTGAAGGCTTTTTTAGATGTCGTTTGGCAAACTCTAATCTGGCCTTCCTGTTTTTGAGGCTCACCAATGGTTTACATCTTGTAGTGAACCCTCTGTATTCACTCTGGTGAAGTCTTCTCTTGATTGTTGACTTTGACACACATACACCTACCTCCTGGAGAGTGTTCTTGATCTGGCCAACTGTTGTGAAGGGTGTTTTTTTCACCAGGGAAAGAATCCTTCGGTCATCCACCACAGTTGTTTTCTGTGGTCTTCTGGGTCTTTTGGTGTTGCTGAGCTCACCGGTGCGTTCCTTCTTTTTAAAAATGTTCCAAACAGTTGTTTTGGCCAAAGCTAAAGCTGACAGTCTGCAGTTAAAGCACATCTTGTTCATTTCATTTCAAATCCATTGTGGTGGTGTATAGAGCCAAAAATGTTAGAATTGTGTCGATGTCCCAATATTTATGGACCTGACTGTAAATATGCTTTTGATCTAAACCATTCCATTGTAGGTTTTATGTTTAGGGTCGTTGTCCTGCTGGAAGGTGAACCTCCGCCCCAGTCTCAAGTCTTTTGCAGACTCTTAAAAAGTTTGCTTCTAAGATTGCCCTGTATTTGGCTCCATCCATCTTCCCATCAACTCTGACCAGCTTCCCTGTACCTGCTAAAGAAAAGCATCCCTACAACATGATGCCACCAACATGTTTCACGGTGGGGATGGTGTGTTCAGGATGATGGTCAGTGTTAGTTTTTCGGCACACATCGTTTTGCTTTTAGGCCAATAAGTTCAATTTTGGTGTCATCTGACCAGTGTACCTTTTTTGACGTGTTTGCTGTGTCCCCCACATGGCTTCTCGCAAACGGAACTTCTTATGGCTTTCTCTCAACATTGGCTTTCTTTTTGCCACTCTTCTGTAAAGGCCAGATTTGTGGAGTGTGAACGACTAATTGTTGTCCTGTGGACAGATTCCCCCACCTGAGCTGTGAATCTCTGCAGCTCCTCCAGAGTTCCCATGGGCGTCTTGGCTGCTTCTCTGATTAATGCTCTCCTTGCCCAGCCAGTCAATTTAGGTGGCCAGCCATGTCTTGATAGGTTTGCAGTTGTGCCATACTCTTTCCATTTTCGGATGATGGATTGAACAGTGTGCCGTGAGATGTTCAAAGACTGGGATATTTTTTTTATAACCTAACCCTGCTTTAAACTTCTGTACAAGTTTTTCCCTGACCTGTTTGGTGTGTTCCTTGCCTTCATGATGCTGTTTGTTCACTAATGTTCTCTAACAAACTTCTGAGGGCTTCACAGAACAGCTGTATTTATACTGAGATTAATTTATAGATAGATGACTTCTGAAGGCAGTTGGTTCCACTAGATTTTAGGGGTATCAGAGTAAAGGGGGCTGAATACAAATGCATTTTCAGATATTTATTTGTAAAAAAAAAAAAAAAAAATTTTGAAAACCGTTTATCATTTTCCTGCCACTTTGTGTTGGTTTATCATAAAAAATCCCAATACAATACATTTACGTTTTTTGGTTGTAACATGAGAAAATGTGGAAAATTTCAAAGGGTATGAATACTTTTTCAAGGCACTTTATGTGCATTGTAGGCAGTGGAAAGCACTCTGTGGATTGGAGGCTCCCCAGTTTTGCTACAGAGTAAGCTGCTGCTGCTTGGCTTTAAGACAGTGCAGCCTGGCCTTGGAAATCCTTTTTCAATGCATTCCTTGCAGCCATGTCTCAGAAATCATTAGTAAAACAGGGTTAGGCTGCTTTACTCTACAGAAAGCTACACAGTTTGTATATGATGACAGTCATGAATCTGTTCAACAATACTGCTACCATGGTTTATTGGTGAGATTTCTGGGATGTCTCGCCAGTCAGTAGTAAAGTACACAGAGAATATTTTTCAACTTTCTACCTGAAAGTGGAAACCACTTGTAAAGTCACCCTGTCTCTGCGTGGTCAAAACAGCAAAAATACGTACTTTTTAAAAGAAGAGGCTTCATATGTAACTTACCAGCAGTTTGTGTTTTAAAACTTCATTGCAGTGCTGATCCCTGGCCACTGCAGGTAGTTAACATTTCTGGGTGTGTAAATACCTGCTACCCCCACCAGCTCATGCATCTCTACAGGACATATTGGCCAGCAGAAGGAACCACTGAGCGGGTGAAATATATTGTACATATTCAATTCATCCGACCGTTTAAATACTTGCAGCGTCTGGGGAGCTTTTCAAAACATGGGTTGCCAGAAAAGTAAGTATAATGCTACTTTTTTATACAGGCATGTCTTTTTGTTGTTTTGACCCTGTGGTGATCTGGTCACTTTAAAGTGTATGTCCAGCCAAAAGATTGGGATAATCTGGGAAAGGATACAACACCTCTCTGGTTTGAACTGCTGTCTGGGCTCTGTTAGTGAGAATTACCCACACTCTGTCCTGCTGACAACAGTTTACCAGATAAAATGTTACCGACACTCCTAACACCAGCATAGACAAATTATTTTATCTTAAGTGTACAATACAAGACAAAAGAAAGGAAGTCGTAGACCTTGGGTTATATGTCGCTAACAGTTGGTTGGACAGTGGCAAAAGCTTTGCTGGAAACATTCCCAGTGCATTCTCTTAACTCCACCCACTACACAGGACTCCAGTTTTTTGCTTGTGTCCTTAGCTGATGGACCTCTTTGGAGAACTTTTCTAAACCATTCTTTTTATGTTATTTCCCAACTTTGACTGACACTTGTTTTGAGATCAGCTGCTTATTGCCTAAGGGCTCATTAGTAGTTTCTGGACCTGGTACCCTCGATTTACACTGGGCACCTGCAGCAGCGAGACTGGCTTGGAATGTTTGCTGCCGGCACTAGATTCAGTGTTTCGGCACTCACCTTGGCACGTAGTGCAAAAGTGTAGCATGATGCAAGGTGCTATAGAGGTCCAGGGCTGTGATCCCTTCTTATGGCACCCAGGCCTTGAAGACCCCAGGGGTATGTCCTCCATGATGGACAAAGTTTGGTTTTGGTTTGCTGTGTGGTTAAGGTGAGACAGGATTCCCCCCCCCCCCCCCCCAAAAAATAATAAAATTTCTCTGCTACATGGGCAGTAGGTAAAGTTTTAATGTTTACTTTTTTATATTTTATAGGGTTTTCCCCCCACACAGCTTTGCTACATAAGTGGTGTCATAGTTGCAGTATGCCTTGCAGCTGACACACTCCTGCCTGCCTTTTCTGCCCACCATTTTTGCCAGGAATGCAAGCACATCTACTGGTCTTTTATATGCTTGCTGTTCCTGAGACACAGTCACAAGACGTCGATCAACACCTAGATTATATCAGCGCCTTTCCCAGACACTCTAATACCCTCTCTTTATGCATCCACAGGGGATTCCCTCAATTAGCAATGGCAGACAAGGCGCAGAGTAGCTGAGGAAAACTGGCAAAACTCAGAGTGATAGCCCTTCCCTTGCACACAGCTCCCTTCCACTAATTCTA